TCATTTTGTTTAGTTAAGTGTTATTACTATGTATGTTGTCTATATATAGTTAATAGAACGCACCGTCATATGACGTGTTGCCGCTGATCAAAAAGCGTTGTTCAATAAAGTGATTGATTGATTGGCGCTGGTGGCGCTTTCCGAAATGCGCTAATGTACTACGAAAAATCCATAAATTAGAGACTTGTGGCAAGTCTATCTCCTTGCCATACAAATTACAGCTCCCACTGACGTCTCAGTCGAGAAATACGGGTAGCTGAAGCTTTTCTCGCAAACCTGACTACAAAACCATATCCAAATTTCACGTTCCACTTTTGACCCCGAGTTGTACTTCGCACTCGCCGCTGAGGGCGGCGTTCCGGTAACCCTACGTCTAGGCACTCATTATGTGTGCTTCGCACTCGCCGCTAATAAGACCAATTAAAGAGCTGTCATCCTCAAATTTAATAAGAGGCATAAATCATGATCAGAACAATAATCGAAAGTGTACAATATAAACAGGAATGGTAGTTCTGAGGAGCACCAATATGCGTAACAATGGACTCAGGTACTACATTACTGAGTCTAACATACTGTGATCTATTGGACAAATAATTGAATGATTTTCAACAGGCCTAATTTTCAATTTAAAGTTATCCTAATGACAATTTAATCAAGCCAATCTTTATTTATATTTATATTTATGTATGCTTAAATTAGACCAATTGAGTCTACAACAGAGTTGAAGGATTATGATTTACCAGCTCCTACCTATTAAAGCTATTCGTAGCTTAAAAATTGGCTCCACTATGTATGAGCCCTCAATTTGTATAATAATAATAATAATAATAATAATAATAATAATAATAATAATAATCAATATTTATATAGCGCCTAATGTTAATAACCTCTAGGCGCTTAACAACAACATAAAACAGCGATGCAGGAGAAGGTGGCATTCAAGTGGTCTCACCCACAGATGTCAAAGTAACGTCGCTGTCTCAATGAGGCAATTTACGACGGCCTCCTGCCTGGTCGTAGCCCTACATCTAATTTCGGTCCTTGAGTCTTTAATAATAAGTCTAGAATATTCCTATTAAACGTTCAGTTGGTTCAGTTTATTACTATAATATTAGGGTTCGTTGGTTCAAGGAATTGCTTAATTGTTCATACTTAATATTGAATTTGAAGTAACTTTCTTCGGATTCTAATTAACCTTGTCTTACGAAAGTAATTTTCAATTACAATTCATCTTTCATCGCGGTGCGCGAAATTTTTGCGGTGACGAAAAAATTATGGGGTTTTTTTTTGCACACGAACCTTAAAAAATCAAGCCAAGCGTCCATTAATTGAAAATTAGTAGACTGTATAGACAAATACGGTAACATTGGGAGTTGCAGTGTTGACGTCACGATTGACTTATAGGCCTAACAATAATTATTAGGCTACTATTTTTAGGCCTGTAGCTCTATTATTATAACCACTATATCATCATTACAACACTATTGTACTATCAACATAACATATTGTACTATCAACATAACATGTTGTCCGTCGTTGCTAACGATGACATTTGATGTGCAGTTTACGCCGACGGCTGACTTCTTTAAATAGAAACATTGTAAAATTTGCCTTAATATGTGTACCTAGTAATTTTGTTTGTTTTGTTTGTTTGTTTGAATTGTATTATTGCGTCTCAAATTATTGATACACGTTTAATATATTTATGGACTTGCACTTGCACAATTATTTAACACATACACCGAGCATACTACAGACTGACACAAACACAACCGAGTGTCTTATTAAAATTTTATATTTATGTTTAAGCACCGTATCAAATTAATTTTGATATCGCGCGTAGGTAGTATAATTTACGTCCTTATGCAGGTCTAATATTAACGCAGGAGCGGACTGGGACCCAAATAGTTACTGCTTCAGTAGATATACTAGGGACGATTAGGCCTTGTGAAGCTATATAATATATATAGCGTAGCCCATCATTGACCAAGCATGTAGTGCCATAATATCGGCGTTGGTTCGAGCGGCACGCTCACGGGTGGGTTATGTGGTCTTCTTGAATAAGGACTATGAACAGTAGGCTTAATTTACACAACTGACTCATGTCTGAAACAACTATATAGTTGTATCAGCCCATGTGCACTCATTGAACTCAGTATATCTTTCGAGACAAGTAGAGGGTTACCCAGGTGTACTGGTTCATACGGCCCCTGCTGAGGACAGACGAGAGTAGCTGTCACCGGTTTAAGGGTAGCTCGCACGACACAAAATGACCCTCAGGGGAAAAGGAAGTTACTGAAAGAACTGGTTCACTCTTCAAATGCTTGATATTTCGCTATGAAACGCTATATACATTACATAACATTAAATCAATTCCTCTTGTTATGCAATTTTCATCAAGGTTATAACACAAGTTCAACGTCAATCAACAAATCTATGTATGCCTTAATTAATTGCTGGCTTTTGCTTTTTTCTTAATGCAGAAAAGTCACCTCCTGATTTTTAGCAGCTGCGTCAAAGCTACTGTTTCGGTCCTTTTTTCCAACTACTTCCTTCTATCCCATTTTACTATGTTTTAAGCAGAATTTTTCTTATCAGTGCTTGAAAACTTTTCACAGACCACTATAACGGTCCACAGGCCCCTTTTGCCATGCCTTTTACCTAGTATAAATAATGTCATTCTAGCTATTTTTAATAATATTAATAAATTGGTAATTACTATTCCATGTTAATTAAATTATTATTTCTTGACTTAACCTGTATCATGGGTCCTGGTAATTGACGGTTGGCAACAAGTATTGGTCTCTTCACGCCGTTCAGTGCTATACAGTGAGGTAAATTACAGTCTGTTAGTGAGTGAGGACAGCGAAAGCAGGCTTTCGACAGCGGGTAGTACCACTCAACGGTGAAGTTAAACCTGCAAACTGCGGGCTCTGCTGGCCACTTGCACTCTCGTTTACACTCGTTTCCGTCAGAAAAATATGTTGCTGCCTCTGTAACAAGAACAATTTATGTTATACGAAATCCACTTGCGCCACTCCGGCAAACAATTCAGGATACAAAAAACAAGTTTAACATTAAAGTAAGTCACCATATGTGGGTTTATCTTGCATCTTTGTCTTCGGCCACGATTCGCACCGAGGAAAATCTTCAGGTGCAGCCGGCAAGTCTGAGTCTTCACCTACATGTAACACCAGTGACATTCCAAGCTACAGACCAAAGAGAACGACAAAGTATGTTTGAGCTCTAATCATAAAATGTCAGATATGGTTAAAAATATCTCTTATTAAATACTGTATTCGGCACCTAGACCAACTGGCATGGAGAATGTATGTTCTGACTGTAACTGCGGACACCTTTCAATATTGTGATATCAATTACGATACTAAATTAATTATAGTTAACCATATACACTACATAGAAAGGAAGTTTTACTATTACTACACTTACCTCAGCATCTTGCTCAGATTCACAGTGGAAAATCCACCAGCCAGGGTTGTCGGCATGGATGCGTAAGATGACGTATCCGCCACTTGGTACGATTACAGTGTCTTTTTTAGGAGCACCTTGAAGCTTGCGCGGCAACGAACCTATAATAATGAATATATATATACATAAGTATATTATTTATATACACATATATATCATGTTTATAAGCTTATAATTAATTTTTAGGAATTTTCAGTATATTTCTAACATTAGTCAGTTAGTCGGTTGGTTGGTTAGTTAGAAGTAACAGCAGTGGTTTTAAATGTGGTGGTGGTGGTGGTAGTAGGAGTAGTAGTAGTCCAGTGGCGGATCTAGGGGGTGAATAGGGTGGCTAGCCACCCCCCTTCGGTGACCTCGAAAAAAATATATAGTCACTCGTCTTGATGTGTGTGTGCTTCTCATGTATGTTACATGTAGTAGGCTACTCTAGTAAAACATACACTTTCTATTTTAAGCTTAACTTCTTTTCAGATGTAATCCAAGAGCGACTAGCCGTGTACTAATTCCAAAAAATCTCAAATGGAAGGGGATGCCTCTCCCTAAACCCATGATCAAGGAGGGACAGGGGGACACGTCACCATTGTTAAGGTGGTGGGGTCGTCCGCAATGTAATAAATTCAAGAAAGATGCCTGAAAATTGTTGAAATGAACTGCAAAAATGACACAGGTTTTAACGAAAGTGTGCGTACAAAAAGTACTCTATCTCTGCCCACAAGTTTCTGAATTACTTATAATACACGACTCTTGTGCTCGTGCCTTTATTATAATTTGAGAGGTATGAGAAAAAGCGTGCAATAATAATAAGATTGGTTTTCGCCACATGGTAAAGTAAATTAAAAATACATCAAAGACAATTAAGTTTTATTTTCAGTGGAACATCACAGTGATTAATTTGATCGATGATGATAAATTTTATTATAAAAGAGTGTCATTTTCCTGTAAGCTAGAGGTACTATTTCCCCAAATGTTCCCACCTCAGCCCTTGTGTGGACTAATGGCTTTGAAGTAGGTAGGCCTAAATTAAGTACATCAAAGACAATGTTTTTAATATTTATTTTCTATAGTACACACATATTAATTGGTTGCCGAAAATAGCTGGTAAAACATCATGAGACATTTGTTGGCTTTTCATTTTTACTACATAATGGTGATGTGATGACGATGAATTTTACTATATAAAAGTGTCATTTCCGGTCATCTAGAGCTAGATCTCCTAAAGTTTTCGCACCTCAGGCCCAACTATTATGGGCCTGAGGTGAGTGTGGGCTCACGAAATGTCCCCCTCACCTTTCGAAACAGATCTGCGCCCTTGTCAACCCCGCCGCTTCGCAAATCGCCTTACCATTGCTAAATCCTAGATCCGCCACTGTAGTCGCAGTGGTAGTAGTAGCGGTAATAGCCGGTGTTGGTGATTTTTTACTGTTATTTTTTTAAAACTATGACTCGATGGTAGTATTACCTTGACGGTCCAATTCTTTCACCTCTGCAACTGTCGTCTTTTCTGCAATAGTGCCCTGACCAACAACTCTGAAGTGGTACCCATGTAAGTGAAAATGGTGGCTGGAAGCGTTCAATTGTGCTTCATTCACTAAGATTATTTCTACATCCTAGATGGACATTAAATATATATTGTCATGGTAAAATTTAAAAACTCAAAAAAAAAAATCAACAAAATATTAAATTACTCAATTATCAACTTCCAATGATACTGTTGGTGATTTGCAGTCTTTCTAAAGAAAGCTTTCGATAAAGCAACAATAACATAACAATACGTTAAACAGATTTACTTGTCTCACACTGTCACCCGCTTTTTATAACAACGTAGATTCGGCCCAAACCCGTCCTAGAATTCGTCCTAGAGTATTTTGCGTGGGCAAAATACTCTACGTGATGTCAGTACGTACTCAATATTCTTACAGGCCATCTGAATTCGAATGCTTCCTAATAATAACTTACGTCACCCATGTCAAGATCAAGAGTGTGTGTACATTCACAGAAATTATCGGCACAATTCTTTCCGTCTCTCAAAAGACTGTCTTTTGCGCAAATCTCGTTCTCCGGAATTTCAGTGAATTGAAAGAGCGGCGGGGATGATGGGAAAATGAAAGTGATGTTATCCAGTTGTGGAGATTCCAAAATTTGTCGCTCTGGAAATATATCACGTGGGTAGTAGAGTGGGTCGTTGAAATGGTCATTTATATGTCGACTGTCAGCCGCAATGTAGAAAATTTTAGTCGGAGTGGTACCTGTCTCTTATACACATCTAGATGTGTATAAGAGACAGATATGTGGGTTTATCTTGCATCTTTGTCTTCGGCCACGATTCGCACCGAGGAAAATCTTCAGGTGCAGCCGGCAAGTCTGAGTCTTCACCTACATGTAACACCAGTGACATTCCAAGCTACAGACCAAAGAGAACGACAAAGTATGTTTGAGCTCTAATCATAAAATGTCAGATATGGTTAAAAATATCTCTTATTAAATACTGTATTCGGCACCTAGACCAACTGGCATGGAGAATGTATGTTCTGACTGTAACTGCGGACACCTTTCAATATTGTGATATCAATTACGATACTAAATTAATTATAGTTAACCATATACACTACATAGAAAGGAAGTTTTACTATTACTACACCTGTCTCTTATACACATCTAGATGTGTATAAGAGACAGCTTTTAGGCAGACATGTTCACAAGATTGGACTTAACCCATCACCTTCATTTTCATTGGTCGTTCAATTTATAATTTCCCATCAAAAGCCTTTTCCCTCAAAATCTATGCGGACCGATAAGTAAGCATTGACTGTGCTGTAATTGGTTGAGCACGAACTCGTATAGTGTAGCACTGTAGCAAGTGTAGGCAGAACGATTTAGGCTAAGCCAAAATTTGTCCAGGCCGTACCAAAGCGGCTAAAATCGGTCCCCCTGACCAATTTTGGCGTGACAGGCCTAACTGGTGATTTGCCTAATGCCTGCCTAAGTCGTATTGATTCGGGCCTACAGTTACTACTAATTACGCTGGGCTCAGTTACTCAATTAGAATTAGGCCTAGGCCTACAGTTTATTTATTGACAAGACAAACAATACATGTACGTTAAATTTAGGGCCTGATAGATGGAAGAAGTACATTTTTGCCATTGCCAATGGGGATGCGTAATTTGTCTGAATAAAAGAATGAACTAGGCCTGGCCATGATCATAGGAAAATGCAGTCATCCCATCGTGTTTGGAAAAAATTCTGGCTTGCACGTTGTCATATTTCATTATTATTCGCTTAGTACATTCCATCTCCATTTAACTTATTTTTGTTATACAATTAGTTAACAAAAACTGCTGTTGAATATTATTATCAAAGGTGTTTGCAAAACTGCTGTTGTTGAAGATTATCATCAAAGTTGTTCGCTGATTCTGTTTGTACAACATCATAACAGGGACGTATCCGGGGGGGGGGGGGGGGTGGGGTGCCGAGGTCCTGTGGACTCTCATGCACCCATGGACGCAGAAAAAGTGGGTAGGGACACGTTTCCGTTACCACATACTTAATGGTGGGAGGGGTGGCACTTTTGGTCTGCAATGCAATATCATAAGTCAAGAAGTTGCCTGAAAAATGTTGAAATACACTGCATAAATGACTCACGTTGTAACAGAAGAACGCTGTGCATCCAAAGTACATCTTATTTTATAGCAACATACTGGTATCTCTGCCCACAAACTTCTGAATTAGGCCTACCTATTATAACACACGACTCGAGTGTGGGTGCCTTTATTATAATTTGAGAGGTATGAGAAAAAGCGTGCAATAATAATAAGATTGGTTTTCGCCACATGGTAAAGTAAATTAAAAATACATCAAAGACAATTAAGTTTTATTTTCAGTGGAACATCACAGTGATTAATTTGATCGATGATGATGAATTTTATTATAAAAGAGTGTAATTTCCTGCAATATAGAGGTACTATTTCCCCAAATGTTCCCACCTCAGGCCTAAATTAAGTACATCAAAGAAAATGTTTTAAATATTTATTTTGTATAGTACATCACACATATTAATTGATTGCCGAAAATAGCTGGTAAAACATCATGAGAAATTTGTTGGCGTTTCATTTTTACTATATAATGGTGATGTGATGACGATGAATTTTACTATATAAAAGTGTCATTTCCAGTCATCTAGAGCTAGATTTCCTAAAGTTTTCGCACCTCAGGCCCAACTATTATGGGCCTGAGGTGGGTGTGGGCTCACAAAATGTCCCCCTCACCTTTCGAAACATATCTGCGCCCTTGTTCACCCCCGCCGCTTCGCAAATCGCTTTACCATTGCTAAATTCTAGATCCGCCACTGTAGTCGCAGTGGTAGTAGCGGTAATAGCCGGTGTTGGTGATTTTTTACTGTTATTTTTTTTTTAAACTATGACTCGATGGGGGCATACAGCCAAGTTTTGTAAGGAAGAACCGCAAGATATTAGAGGAACAGGTAACAGTAAGATCTCCTCGCCTCTAGCTTGTAATTCAGACATTACAAATTATAAGGAAATCTCCGAAAACACCGCTAGTGATGAGCGCAGGTGTGATACGTTCTTTCGTCAGACACCTGGAGAAAAATTTATCCAGAAAATGTGGAAGAGCATTGTTGAGAAAGGAAATGACAATGGCCAGAAATGGAGTTTCGGAAGCGACGATAGCGAGAGCGATGAGGTAAACAGCTGTGACGAAGACAACGTTCCCAGCGGAATAGATGATGTTGAAACAACAAATGACGTCACCTCCGACAACATTCATCCTCATCCTTGCAAGCATGACAACGTCCAAACACGAATTACCACCTTCATTAAACCAACTCAACAGAAACCAGGAAATGGAAATGATGCAGAAAATGACAAAGGTGCTCAGATTGAGACCGGAAAACTAATTACCACACCAAGTCCTGTACAGAAACGCAAAAAGAAAAGGAAGCGCGTAAGAAGCAAGTCAACGTAAAGATATATTGTTATAAGCCTACATTACGCAAGTATACTTACTTCCGTGTCTTTCATATTGTATTTTTAACAATCCTATAATTTAGAAAGCATGGGTAAAAATAAACCCAAAGGTCTGCATTGTTTAACTTTAAACGTCCGTGGCCTAAGAATCAAGCAAAAACAAAATGAGATTTTTAATTGGGTAAAAGACAACAAGAAGGTAGACATCTTTCTTGTCCAATAGACGCATTTTACTAAAAATCTTACAAATATAAATAATTGTCTATGGGAGGGAGATGCGTACCATAGTTTTGGCACCTCCTTTAGCAGAGGGGTATCTATTTGGTACTCAATATACTTTAGTAAATGTCTATGCGCCGAATGACAGTAAATCACGGAGTTCCTTTTATAGAATTCTCCAAAAGCACATCCAAAAATGTTGCGACACGCAATATATTATTGTTGGAGGAGACATGAATTGTATTCAGGATAATCTGTACGATCAAAAGGGCAGCAAAACAAAAATCGATAATTCAGTGTTCACTGTGAAAGGCCTTATGAAAAATCTAAAGCTAATTGATTGTTGGAGATTTTATAACCAAGATAAAATTCAATTTACATGGCGCAGACAATCATCAAATTTATTTAAGAGGCTTGATTACTGGTTTGTATCAAAAACCTTATATGAGAGGAATAATATTATCTCTTGCGACATTAGACCTGCCATTTTTACCGATCATCAAGTTCTTTCAATTAAACTTGATGGACTTGGAGAAAAAAGAGGCCCTGGGTTATGGAAATTCAACTCAGGCAACAATGATATCACTTTTACTAGTAACATTAATAAAATCATTAATGATTGTGAACAAAAAATAAAATGTCTCAATCCAATAGATAAGTGGGAAATAGTTAAAACAAAAGTCAAAGAGTATGCAATACACTTTGGTAAAGAAAATATAAAAAAGAAAAATTGTAAAAAAGAAAATCTACAAAAAGATATAAAAAAGACTAAAAAACGATAAGCTGATTGAGACACACGGTGATGAAAAAATAGACTTAGAGATTAAAATGAAAACAAAAGAACTAGAAAATATATATGCGTTTGAGGCCAAAGGTGCTCCAATCCGATCCCGAACGAAATGGGTAGAAGAAGGGGAAACAAATTCAAAATATTGTTTGAAGGTTTGCATGGTGAAGTATAATATATAATTAATGCTTGCGGTACACCACGTAGATAGTTCTGAAAAGAACTGTTGTTGTTGGTTGAGAATATCTCGACGTTTCGGTTCACTTGCTTCAACCGTCTTCAGGAGAATAATATCCGCAGAGATCTCAAACAGGGAAATACTTCCTAGGACTAGAAAACAATAATGGTAAAAAAAAAAGAAATTAAAAAAAATCATAAGGTCTGATGGAACATACGCTGTAAAAACCAAGAGACATTCTGTCCGAAGAAGTACAACATTTTAAGAACTTATATGCCTCTGAAAAAATTAGTAAGACTGAAATTCATTAATATTTAAATTTAACAAAATCATCTAAACTAACAATTCCTGAACAACAATGTTGTGAAGGAGAATTAACCATCCATGAATGTGAAAATGCAATACGAAATATGAAAACCAATAAAGCACCTGGGTCAGACGGCCTAACAGTAGAGTTTTATCAATCGTTCTGGCCCAAAATAGATACTTTGGTATGTAACTCATTAAACTGGTGTTTAGAAATGGGAACATTATCAAATTCACAACGAAGAGGGATAATAAATTTAATTTATAAAAAGGGTCAACATGAAAATTTAACTCTCCTAATTGTGGACTATAAGATTGCCGCATCAGAAAATATTAGGCTGATAGAAGATGTGATCGAATATTAACAGCCTAACAGGGGCTCTCATTAGCGTAGACTTTACTAAAGCTTTTGATACTGTCAACAGAGACTTCCTGATTAGTACGTTGGAACATTTAAACTTTAAACTATTAAGTGGGTAAATGTTTTGTATTATGATACCGAAAGTATTATTATTAAAAATGGATGGTGTTCAAGTAGTTTTAAAATGAACAGAGGCATTAGACAAGGCTGTCCTCTATCCGCACTATTATTTATCATTGCAACCGAAATAATGGCTGTAAGACTTAGACATGATAAATTGATTAAAGGCATTATGTTACCAAGTATAGAAGGCCCACGTGTAAATGAAGTGAAAATTGCCGATGACACGGTTCTATTTATCAATAATGAAATCAGTATACAAAAAAGCTTACATGAAGTTGTGGAAATCGGAAAAGTTTCTGGACTAAAACTAAATAAAAAAAAAACAAATGCTATGTGGTTAAGACAATGGAAAAAAATAACTGATAGTTTATACGATATCAAATGGGTATCAGATGCATTCAGAATGAAGTAGCAAATTTGAAATACTTGCCAATGATGTACTTTAATAAGCTTGCCCCAAGAAATATAATTGAAAATATATCGCATATGAATTGGAAGCAAAAACCCTGTAAAAAATTACACGGTTTTTACTTGTCATTACTTCATGCATTAGCCCAATGTAACGAAAGTTTAATGAAACATCCAACATGCTATGAGGTAAGTATGGAGCAGCAAATTCGGGATTAATAATGTATAATGGATTTTCTCTGTTATATAGAAACTGGATTAGATCCGGTATTCGCAAAATGAAAGATATTGTGATTGGTTACGACTTCATTAATTCAAATAAGCTATTATTATTGTTAAATACACTGTAATAAATCAAATTGGATATCAGAATTTTCTAATTTAAAGATGGCAATTCCACAGGAATGGAAAAATATTATATTCTCAAAAAATGAAAATGTAAAACAAAATAATACACAACAAGTAGTAAACAATTGCTGCAATATGAACAGTAAACAAATTTATAATTTTTTTTTATAAAAAAAAATGTTTAGAACCTACAAATTCTCAATCAAAGTGGCATAAATTTTTTTAATACAGAATTTGACTGGGGACTTACCTGGTCATGGAAAGTGAAATATATCAAGGAAAACAAACTCAAACAGATAAACTATAAAATATTGCATTGTATTGTTCCCACTAGGAAAAGGTTACATACATGGAAAATTATCGAGGATAATACATGTCCAAAAGTGCAATGTTGTTGAAGATGACGCACATTTTTGTTTTTATTATTGTAGAGAATCACATGACCTGTGGAATTTTATTAATCATTTTAGCCTTATTAAGTACGGTATTGAAGCAAATTTTAAAAATATTGTGCTTGGTACAGGAAACGTTTATATAGACCATCTGTTTTCATTAGGAACGTTTTGCATTTACAAAGCAAACGTCCTAAAATATCTGGACAAATGGGGTTACACCTCAGTTTTCCAACTTTTTATTATAGAAAAACATATCCGAAAATATTTTGAATAACTTTTAACTCATTTTAAAAACGTATGCCAAAAATTTCTCCAGTATTTTTACATTCTATATTGCATTATAGATGATTGTGTAACCACAATATTGCTTATAAAAAATGTTTTGTCTTTGTGATGAATAAAGGTGGGATGACCCTCACAAAAGATAAAAAAAAAAACAAAAACTATGACTTGATGGTAGTATTACCTTGACGGTCCAATTCTTTCACCTCTGCAACAGTCGTCTTTTCTGCAATAGTGCCCTGACCAACAACTCTGAAGTGGTACCCATGTAAGTGAAAATGGTGGCTGGAAGCGTTCAATTGTGCTTCATTCACTAAGATTATTTCTACATCCTAGATGGACGATAAATATATATTGTCATGGTAAAATCTAAAAACTCAAAAAAAAAATCAACAAAATATTAAATTACTCAATTATCAACTTCCAATGATACTGTTGCTGATTTGCAGTTTTTCTAAAGAAAACTTTAGATAAAGCAACAATAACATAACAATACATTATAAAGATTTACTTGTCTCACACTGTGACCCGCTTTTTATAACAACGTAGATTCGGCCCAAACCCGTCCTAGAATTCGTCCTAGAGTCTTTTGCATGGGCAAAATACTCTACGTGACGTCAGTACGTAGGCCTACTCAATATTCTTACAGGCCATCTGAATTCGAATGCTTACTAATAATAACTTACGTCACCCATGTCAACATCAAGAGTGTGTGTACATTCACAGAAATTATCGGCACAATTCTTTCCGTCTATCAAAAGACTGTCTTTTGCGCAAATCTCGTTCTCCGGAATTTCAGTGAATTGAAAGAGCGGCGGGGATGATGGGAAAATGAAAGTGATGTTATCCAGTTGTGGAGATTCCAAAATCTGTCGCTCTGGAAATATATCACGTGGGTAGTAGAGTGGGTCGTTGAAATGGTCATTTATATGTCGACTGTCAGCCGCAATGTAGAAAATTTTAGACGGAGTGGTACTTAGGCTATCATCGTCTGTAATATCAATATATCAAATAATATATAAATAATTTAAATACACAAAACGAATTATTATTTATTGTCAACGTGCTCATTTTTCTAATTGAATCAATGAAATCAAATTCATGGGGCACATTCGTTTCTTACCACTTCCAGCAAACGTTATATATAACAGTTTTTACGTTGTGCTTAATGCCAGATAACTGTGGTTCTATAAAATCCGTTTTAAACACGAAATTGATTTTTTTTTATAACGGAATTACACTTAATTATAACGTCAAATTGTTAGCTGGGCTGTTCTATTTTATTCTGGAAATAAGCCTATATATATTTGCTTACCTAATGAATTTAGCTGTACAACTGGTGTTCCTGTAGAATCTAATGTATTTACTGTGCCAACGCCTGGTATAGCACCTCCTTCTGGCGCCATCGTTTCGTCTTCATCGGGATCTATTGTTGGAGCTCCAGCGTAGCGCAGTATTGCTAGTTCTCGTTGTCCATTGCAAACATCTGATTCTTGCACCCTTATCCAATAGTTATCAACATTTTTATCTGAAGTTAATATAAAATCAAAACGTTCTCCACCGTAGATTAGTAATTTATTGGTTTCAATCGGCTCAATCGGTGCGCCATCTGATGCAATAACTGTCATCGTGTGACTGTCTATCGACAAAGTGAGTCCACAATCGGTAATGCCACTGCTGATCATTCGAAAGCGGTATCGGAAATTCTGCTGAACGGAAAATGTCTCTCGAGGCGTATATGCTGAGTTCCGGCCAACGACGACCCTATCAAACTTTCCCTTGCCATTAATAAGAACTGTGTCTGGATTGAAAGAGCACACAGCCTGGCATTCAGCTAAATTATCAAGAAATGTATCATTAAACCAATCATTTACAATTATCGTGTGCTCTGACAGATCGTAGTCGTACAATGAGTAATGTGTGTCACGTGACTGTGCTTGTCGAACAATAAGTGCACCAAATAAACCATTTGCACGTTGCGTCCCCGCCTCACTATGCCACCAGTGAGTTCCTGCTGGCTCAGCTTGGAAGGAATACAGAAAATTTGTCCTCGATGTAATAGGACACTGAGTTAGCATAGGGACGCCGTCCATATACGGGTTACCTCTTGAATGAAGACCGTGCCAGTGAATTGACGTTCCTTCTCCTGTAGGTAGCCTGTTTTTTACCTCAACTTCTATTGTATCTCCTTCACAGACCTACAAATAAAACAAAAAAATACCTTGGCCTACGTAAATCGCATTCACGGAACTGAAGATAAAAATATGATCCTGATACAATACTTGTGGCGTTCAGTCGAATGATATTGTGGTACAAAATAATCTGAAACCAAAATAAATATCGTTCGTGAGTAGGAAAGAGGGCCCCTGAACATCAACTCCGGGTTCAGCTGGAAGGGTTACCCTCTATAATTAAAGTTATAAGAAGAAGCACCAGGACCTGACATTATGTTTAATTTAAAGATGTTAATTCCGTAAATACACACTGTGCTTAAACGAAAATAACACACCGAATCATCACCGACATCCAAATTACTATTCAAAATTAAATTTTAAATATCTGACTGGCTGAATGAGAACAGACTCTCTTTAAATATTGACAATACGAAATCATTTGTGTTTGGTTCTAAGAGGAAATTACAAGTTTTGCAAAAGATATACCAAAAGAGCATGGAAATACCACAAAGAGATTTTGAATTCCATGCTTTAACTTTGCTTTGTAGTAATGCTATTCAGTTCACCTCTGTTTTCAATTTCATTTAGTTGTTTTTCTTTCCTGCATTACTATTTTTGATGTATGTTGCTTAGGTTTTTTTAAGGGGAAGGGCAAAATACATAGTTTGGGAGGGAAATGTATGCTCTCAGTGATGTTCGGTATTCTGAACATATTTGTTTTTAATTTTTAAGTATTTGTTTAAGTTTAATTCATTTTCCTTTGTCGTTTTTTTTTTTTTTTTTACTGCTTTTTAGTTTTAAGTTTTGTTTACTTAGTATAATATATTATATTTACGGTACCTTTAATTGAATAAGCGTCATTCAGGGGATTGAAATGAGTATTGAGGTACGTTATCATACGCATATAATACCTGTCTCTTATACACAGACGAGGGGGTGGGTATTGGATAGGGGTGGGGTGATTGTAAAATGCTTGAGTGACGGTTACTCAATTTATACTTTGTTTTCTTTAGTGATTGTATTCTGTTTGAAGTATTATATTTTTTTGGACGCACCTTTATCATGTGAAGTGTGCCACTGTTTCAAAAGTGTAGTTTCCCAATAAATTATATTATATGGTGCAGGAGATCTAAATATTAGGATTATGGATTCTACCATTCAAGCCGTTGACCACTAGTCCTATGTCGTAAAACGTTCGAAGCTTATAATAATGATTAATTTTATAATTATAAGCCTAACCTGTATCAGGGGTCCTGGTAATTGACGGTTGGCAACCATTATTGGTCTCTTCACGCCGTTGAGTGCTATACAGTGCGGTAAATCACAGTCTGTCTGTGAGAGAGGACAGCGATAGCATGCTTTCGACAGCGGGTAGTACCACTCAACAGTGAAGTTAAACCTGCAAACTGCCGGCTCTGCTGGCCACTTGCACTCTCGCTTACATTCGTTTCCGTCAGAAAAATATGTTGCTGCCTCTGTAACAGTAATGGTTAAAGTTAAATGTTTTTCTTTTTTGTCTCAATATAATTACAATTCTTGTGTAAAAGCATTACAGAATAACTGACAAGTTAGGCCTACCTGAATCTGAATTAATCAGGAACATCAAAAGCCAAATGCCTACACATCTTACACACGTATCCATGGTAGAATTGGCAAGGCTGCATCTAGTACTTCTTTATGCTACATTACCTCGAATATCAATGCCGGTATTTCTCTACTCGAAATGGTTCAAAGCTTGTTTGCTTGTTTTGTGTAGGCCTGTATGAAAATAATAATGAATACACAATACAGCGCAGCACAACTGTGTATTGTTTCTTGTGTAACCAGTTCTGAATTACGTAGGCCTGGAACTGTTTTCTAGAATCAATATTATAATAGTGGTGAGTTACAAGTTATTACAATAGCCAATTGATATTGCAGTTTACATAGTGGAAATAAAAGACTGCTGTACTAAGCCCTGAACTGAATAGTATTCACACTAATATTTAATTTTAAATTTGTTAATGGCCGTTATGTTTTGAATAAGATAAACTATGTTATGAAAAGTATTAAGTAGGCCTATAATTATTTTTTTATAATTAAACGTTGTTTTGATTCCATCAAATTTAAACACATACACAAGAACAAAGATACAGATGTTTATGTTTTAATCCTAAATTTTAGAGAAGACGTTCTATTTTTATACATACAATTCTTAGTATTTTTAAATTAATGCAATAATAATTACAGGTACTATCTCGCTATATTTTTCTATTTGTAACCGGTTTAATAGAAGGGAACCCTCTGGAAATAAGTAGTTTGGTGGGACCTTTGAGGGTTATCCCCAATGTCTGCTAACGATTGTTTTTGTTTTAATTATTTTGCTTGTTATTTTTGTCTATGATATCAGGGAGCCGTGATTAATATGACTGCTCCCTATTATGTGGCTTGTTGGAGATTAAATGAATCAAGTCAAAAATTAGTTTTAATATACGTCTGGTGACATTAGCAACGATTCACACGTACTATGAAGCTAGAATTAGTTGTTTGACAGAAATTTTATAATTCATCAGAATCTCCAAATGATCCTATTATGTTATTCAGAACTTCGGTACCGTATTTGTTAAACGTTATTCAATTATTGTTACAATTATTATTATTATTATTATTATTATTATTATTATTATTATTATTATTATTATTATTATTATTATTATTATTATTATTAGTGGTAGTGGTAGTAGAGTAGTAGTAGTATATAGTATTATTATTATTATTATTATTATTATTATTATTATTATTATTATTATTATTATTATTATTATTGAAATTATTATTGAAATTATTATTGAAATTTTTATTACAAATAATTGTAGTTTCTAATTTGGTTTTTCGATTTTAAATGGTACCTACCATCACTGTTTGTTTTGGCGTTCTCAGTTTAACTGTGAATCATCAGTTTATTGTTGTTCTTAAGACTACAAAATTCGGTGTGAACGTCAGAAAATGTAATGGATACGTATTATTGTTGCATTCACAATCGGTGAGTTAGCACCACGCTCTACCATTCAACTATAATGGATCGGAGACAATGAACCAAATGAAATGTAATACCCTGCACGAAAGTGAACTAGCTATTGATTTCTGATTTGATTTGATTTGATTTGAATTTATTGTGTTGCAATAAACGTACATACAGATAAAATACAGTCATAAACGATGCAAGAACAAGAAAAATATTAAGATATAAAAGTCTATACACAAACTGGGGAAAAATATTGATTCGATAACATTAAAATACAAGAACAAGAAACATGAAAAAAGCGGAACCAAGTAGCCCACAAAAGATGTCCGACGTAAAACAATCTTATTTCCCGAGGGGTCCCTATGACTATAAAATACACAGAGGCCTAATTAAAACATTAATCCTTTAAATTTTAAAAGAATAAAAATACAATTAATGAAAATCAATGTCAGTGACTACAATAACAAAAATACCAACTGTTTTAATCTCTAGTGCATTTGTGTGACCTTTCCTACCGTTATATATCTCCCCTTCAAGCAATACCTCGCCCTCTCTGCAACGAAAGCTCTTATGCATATCTGGTATATTTCACTTTCTTAAGATCCAAATGAAAAACTTTATGAACAAACATAATAGTGATATAGTTATGTTATTAATAAATCGATGAATAATCCTAATTATACCATTGTTATTTTATTATAAAACTAGCGTTGTTCAAGAGTGTGAAATTTCAGCTATCTCTAATCGGGTTTGAATTTCCATGGAAGCCAAAATGGCCCAGTTGCCCTACACGTCATATCGGCCCCAAGCTAACGGCCATATGCCAACTGGGCCCTAAACCAATTTTCTGCACTCAAAACAACCCCGTGCCAAATCGGCTCCAAACCAACTCAGGGTCGTAATGAGGTTGTCAGTTTAGTTGTATTAAACATAAATCATTAAAATGTATCTGATTTATGTTTTATATTGTCATTTAGATATGAAACTAAGTATGGCAACAAGGCTCGTATTATGTACTATTATTTCTCCTCTGCGTTCAACATCATTCGCATTTACTAGTTAATATGTAAATCCCCTATAATATTATTTCATTTGTTTTTTTTTTCTGACAAATCAGTGGTTTCATCAGGATTTCCCTGACGAGAGGCTCAATGTATCCGATGGTGGGTGAGGCCAGAGGCAGCCCAGAACCCCTAAGACGGGGTCCAGAGGGCCTGAAAACTGCGATTATTTAGTATATGAAAGGCTTGTTTAATTGATTTTTTTAGTCTGACCGAACTGGCAGACTGATTGATTGGTTGATTGACAGACTGACAGACACCCAAATTGACTGATTGATTGATTGTTGTTGACTGATTGATGGAATACTGGTATTATCAAAGTAAAACATTTGATCTTACCGTGTAATATCTATAACTAAGCCACACCAGCCTTAAAAATAATATTTTATTTCAAAGCGTTATTGAGACCATCCATCGAGTAAAGTAGAATTATTGATATACACTGCAGTAATCTTAGGACAGACCAGCGCCCTCATGACATTGGCACGACATCCACCCTCATCTTGTTATCATTGAACCTTATAATTATATGCTGGACTATCTGTAATGTATGTTTATCTAAAAGATCTCTTATAGACTATAATGACTGTAATATTTTAGCATGGTTTTAGAAGTGACAAATAACCGTTACAGGCCTACCAATTCTGATATAGTGGTAGTGGTAATCATAACAATAATTGTTATTTTAATAATAAATGATGAAATAATATAAAATATAAAGTGTTGAACATGCGGGTAGGAATATGCTTAAGTGTAATGCTTAAGAATGGCTGAATCACGAATGAAAATATCGTGTATATTTTTATTATATTGACAATATGAACTTCCCAACTAACAATTTACGTTATAATATAACGTACATTATAAACGTTGTAGTTTGGTATTCAGACGATTTCTTTGTAGGACCTTAAATACGTATCTCGATGTGAGTTTGCGCCAGGAAAATATCATAAAACATAACTCCTATGATATTTTCCAGACGCAAACTCATATGGAAATAGCATCTGCAGTACCCACTAATTGGGGATTGGATTCAACACTAGTCACCAAACGTAATTTCGGTAATGTAGTGGTTATGGCGACATGATTCCCATTCAATAGTCCTTCTTAATGGGTAACTGGTCTCCTCTCTCATGTCGACATTGAATCCACGGACCCACAAGGTCAAGTCCCCCACCCCTGAAGGAAAAAGGAGAAAAACAAAGAAAGAAGGAAAGAAAAGAAAGGAGAAAGAGGGGAGCACATGTACTTTCGATTAAATTCCATTTCTATGCTCAAGCATTTAATACATATACTATCCACTTCCACTTCTTCTTTATTAATACCCAGCTATGATCTTCCAGTCTATCTTGAACTTTGAACTTTATTCGGAAACAATTTTGGTTCAGTGACACAGACCCTCTGGTAGTGCATCCAAATTACAAATAACAGCTCACAAAATAACTGTGTTAATATTAGTACCGGTACCTTATCATTAATTTACAAATTATTATTTTAAGTAATGTACCGCGCACACAACAAATTAACAGTCCTAAAATATCATATCCCTATGCATGTATGACAGCAAAAAAGACACAAAACAGTATAAACATCATATTAATTTCAGACGCTATGGGGCTGGTGCTTGGTGTATTATCTGTTGGCTTCGTCGTCGGTGAGGTGCTCTGAGGCCAGGAACCACACCGTGGAAAATTTTCGGGAATTTTTGGCAGATCGGAATCATTTCCAACATGAATCACTAAAGCCATTCCAATCTGAAAAAAAATATAGAAGATAGTCTGTGTTTTAGGAGACTCTTATTACATTTTTATGACAATTAATGACGTTAATATATTGTGTAAGCATGAAATCAATTCAAGCAAACTGCCGTCCTCTACAAAATAAACGAAAAGCAAACAGTTCTGTTATCCTACTTCAACGTGAAATTCCAGATGACAATGAAAGAGCCACCACCCTGGATTGGTTGCGTGGAAGCGTATTATCGTATATCCACCGTCTGGGACGATAACTGTATCTTTCTTGATTGCTCTTTCGAGTTTACGCGTCAAATTACCTAGAGGATTAAATGTCAAAAATATTGGTTACAGTAATGATAATAGTAATAACAACAGAAACATCCCTAATAACAAAGACGATAATAATATGCAATTATATAAACAACAATACCATATATATATATATATATATATATATATATATTTCTGATCTCAATTTTTTGTGAAACAGTGCTCAATCCCACTGAAAAATCTATCTCTTATACACATCTAGATGTGTATAAGAGACAGATTATGCACTTGTCAATTGTAGTCCAAACTTCCATGGAAACTGCTAAGTGATACGCACGCGTAGTGCTTCCATCAAGGAACCTCATCTCCTTGGCCTAGCTCTCACGTTGCTTCGAGTACAGATGGTGGGATCGATCGATCTCTTCAATAGGGTAGTACTCTGGATGGTGGAAATGATAATTGTTTACTTTGTTGAAATCCATCGCAATGTAGAATTTATGATCTGGTTCTTGTTGTAGCAGGGCTTGGTCTTCTGGTTCTTCAATGTCCTCTATAAAGATAATAATATCACATTAAAACCTTTATTCTAGGCAACGTTCTCTGTGAAAGTTTATCTAAACGTCGATTATAGCAATTCTGTAATTAATATAGTATGCGCAAAAATATATATACATTTTATAGAAAAGTTTTTAGATTTACTGTATTAAGATGCAGGCTTTCTTTCACACAGAGTACTTCTTTATGTATTTATATGAAAAAAAAATAAATTGCCCATTTGATATATAATTATATTAAAGTTGATCATTACATGTATCATGTCATACCTATCGCATTAAGCTCCACAATTGCAATGTTTTCATCAGTTGCTGGTGTGTTGAACGGATTCAAAATAGTCCCTTCTCTGTCAGTTGTTTCAGATAGATGTGGATTTTCATAAACAGCGCCCTCATATTGCAGAATCGCCAACTCTTGGACACTGTTGCAGTCGGCAAGACCTTTTACTCGTACCCAGTAGTTGTCAATAGTTTGGTTTGCATTCAATACAAAGTCAAACCGTTCCCCTCCATATATAACAAATGCATCAACTTTAACTGGCTCGGTCGGCGCTCCATCAGACGAGATTATCAGCATTGTATGATTATCTATTGAAATCTTGAGGGGGCAATTGGTAATCGCGTTACTGATCGATCGAAAACGATACCGAAAGCCTTTCTTAACGCGAAAAGTTTCCCTTGGTGTGAATTTGGTTTGGCCTTGATCATTTGTTTGTTCTTGTCTCTTCCCTTTTCCATTAATAAGCACTGACTCTGGCTTATTGCTTCCATCATCGTGGTGATGGGCAGAAAATTTAACAACAGTAATTTGATCGAGCCAATCGTGAACCAACATTATGTGTTCTGAAAGATCGTAGTCGTACAGAAGGTAATTTGCGTCACGTGATGGAGCTTGTCGTACAATTAGGGCGCCAAATATTCCATCAGATCGATGCATTCCAGAATGTCCATGCCACCAGTGTGTGCCAACTGGGTGAACTTCAAGGGAATATAGGAAGGACGCGTAAGATGGAATGGGGCACTGAGTTAGCATTGAAACTCCGTCCATATATTGCCGATTTCGTACATGAACGCCGTGCCAGTGGATAGATGTTCCCTCAGCATTACTTAAGTGGTTGGTGACTGCAACCTCAATACTGTCTCCTTCACACACCTTAAGAACACAATACAATAATTTTATATCAATGGATGATCAATAGAGCTGCTGGGACCGTCGACAATATTTTTCTAATAACAAATAGAGTTGGGTGGGAGTAAAGTTATTTTTATTGTAAGCAAACGTTAGAAAAATGTTAAAGTATTGAAGCATGAAGTTTAAATATGGTGATTTTAACCCAATAAAATAGTTGTGTTAATATTGTTAATGATCTTATGCAAAACTTAATAACAGACAGAATTGAAATGGGATAATAATAGCTTATCCATAATACAGTACACCTCTCATTTTCTCCACTTTCAGTGCATTTATGTAATAAGCTAATGTTAAATTGTGAATACAAGCATTAGTGTAGGCCTACCACAAGTAGGCTATCTTTGATTCAAATGTTATATTCCTGTAATACAATACTTCCAACATACCTCAATCTTGGGACCAGGGAACTGCCTATTAACAGTTAAAATTGCTCTTCCAACACCGTTAAGTGGTACGCAATCTTGTGAATCGCAGTCCGTCATGTTGAATGGACAATCGTAACATGCTTTTGACATCGAGTAATACAATTCCACAGTAAAGTTGAAACGACAGATCGCCGGCTCATATGGCCACTCACAATTTCTTTTGCAATCTCTACCATCGGCAAAATACGTAGCAGCATCTAAAATTTAAATTCGTTAATTGTTTTTTTTTTCCACAAATGCAAGCATTATTTTCATCTTTGGTTATTAAAACCAACGTGAAAAAAGGCAGTATAAAACTGAAATGGGGTACATTTTATAAGTTAAGCATCAAACCAGATAAACAGTATCATTACAAATTGGAGTTTTCCATTCAGTTTTTTCCTCATCATCTATTTGAAAGGTTACAAAATTGGTTTTCTCTTCATTGATAAACTTAAATAACTGTTATTCAACTTATCCTCGTGTATCTTAGACTATCCAGAAAGGGTGATTTTCGCTGCAAAAAAAATATGTCCGTTAACAGCCTGCACCAAATGTGTGTGGCCGTACACAACGGAGGCACTAGCGAAAATATTGTGAATCAGAAAACACCACATTACTTTCCGCTCAAGCAGCTTTTATGTATTATTTATCCTCATTACATAGGCCCTACACCTTGTTTCTTTGGATAACGTACAGTAGACGGAAAGGGCGATAACATGAGAGTTTCTTTTTTTATAGGGATAATGAATTATTTTAGGCTTTTGAATCTTTATGCAAACAACGGAAGCCCGGTATCACAAACAAATATTTAAAACCCATCGTCAAGATAATCCTGTTCACTTTTTAAGCAAGTATTGTTTTAAACTCATATGAGCTCTTAATAGCATTATATTATGTTCCATAATTTATTACTGATACGATGTTATTCTTTGAGCTCGTGATGGATTTCCGATCTACGGTCCGATCGACGAAGACGGCACCCGGTTGGCATCGGATGATTTGGATGATCACAAAACTGACGACCCGTATATCCTAGGTTGCTTCAAAGGAACTGTGAACATATCTCTGGTGGAGGCCCGCCGTCGAATACTCAATCGACAACGCCGCCATCCGGTAACGGAGTCCAAATTGTTCAATTGTCTGCATGTAGAATGCTATTTATCGCGCATTGGCTGTGCTCCATTTCACTTATTTTGTAAAGAACCTACCTAAATGATACGACATATATATATATATATATATGAAAAGACGATGAGATGTCAACGACTTGGTAGAATTAGAACACAAATTTTATTCAAAAGATGAATAATTCAACCCGTCCTCGGGTCTCCTTCAGCATGTGTGACAAACAAAATATACGGTAAGTTGGCTATTACAATAATTATGATAAAAAGTAAAGTAATATATGATTGGTCGACATTTTAATAGAATATAATGAACATGATGATAGGACAAAAACTAAGGGGCGGAGTATTATAAGAACAAAAATAATTAACAGATAAAATTATTAATTAATATTAATATTTTTATTTCATATTTCTATATATACGGTATATACATAT